AATATAATATGGTACACATGTTAAGCTGGTTTTACAGTATAAAATATGGTACATAAGTTAAGCTGGTTTTACAGTATATAATATGGTACATATGTTAAGCTGGTTTTACAGTATATAATATGCTACATATGTTAAGCTGGTTTTACAGTATATAATATGGTACATATGTTAAGCTGGTTTTACAGTATATAATATGGTACATATGTTAAGCTGGTTTTACAGTATATAATATGGTACATATGTTAAGCTGGTTTTACAGTATATAATATGGTACATATGTTAAGCTGGTTTTACAGTATATAATATGATAGACATGTTAAGCTGGTTTTACAGTATAAAATATGGTACATAAGTTAAGCTGGTTTTACAGTATATAATATGGTACATATGTTAAGCTGGTTTTACAGTATATAATATGGTACATATGTTAAGCTGGTTTTACAGTATATAATATGCTACATAAGTTAAGCTGGTTTTACAGTATATAATATGGTACACATGTTAAGCTGGTTTTACAGTATATAATATGCTACATAAGTTAAGCTGGTTTCACAGTATAAAATATGGTACATAGCTATGTGTGCTGTGCCCATTGCATAGTTTTGTGCTTCACTACAAACAAACAAACAAACAAAATATTTTGAAATTTCATATTGATCTTAAATTTCAAGTATGAAACTCATTTTGGATTTACGGCCGAAAATACTGTTAGGAATGAGGGTACTGAACAGATGAAACAAGTGAGATCGTATAGAAATTAATTTTCTTATTCCAAATTTCAGATTAAAGTTTAATTTTGGGATTACGGACGAAAACATCGAAGGTACCCAGTTGATGAAGAATGCATTTTCATCTTTATAAGTAAGGTCGTATTCAAATTAATTTTCTTAATACCCAAAGGTTTTAGTGTTTAATAAGAATTCTTATTTATTTTTCAGATGAAGCTGTTCCCAAACAAGGATTTTGTGACGTTCTTCTGACACTTCTGTGTTTAGCTCTGATCATTGTCACTTTCCCATTTTCGCTCTTTTTCTGTATTAGGGTAAGTTCGAAACAACATTGAATATGATGATTTTGACTACTTGGGTTATACCAAATACGTCAAGATGTACGCCAAATACGTCAAGATTTACACCAAATACGTCAAGATTTACACCAAATACGTTAAGATTTACACCAAATATGTTAAGATTTACGCCAAATACGTTAAGATTTACACCAAATATGTTAAGATTTATACCAAATACGTCAAGATTTCCACCAAATACGTCAAGATTTACACCAAATACGTTAAGATTTACACCAAATACGTTAAGATTTACACCAAATACGTTAAGATTTAAACTTTCAGTGGTTACTAAGTAACATCTTTATTCTCAAAATAATAACTCCAATCTACAGAATAAAACGTAACTTTGAAAATTCAGTCAAGGCAACAAGGTTTAAAATCAAAAATAGGGCCAACGTTTAAAATGAACAATAAAGATGATTATTGATCTTTGATGGTAAGTAAAGTTACCGAAACATGTAGATTATTTTAATTTTGGCCGTCGGCAAAACAAAATTTTTATTGGCCCTACTTTTAATTAAAAAAAACAAACTTTTGTAAAGAAAGTTTTTTACGAAATATAGATATGAATTTGACTATGTAGTTTTTCGCGTTATGTACATTTTTTATGCTTAACACGTGGTTTCCACTAAACGTGTGTCAGGTTAAACAATGGATAGCTATTATCTTGTGTCTTTATTTACAAAATAATAACTCCCACAACCAGAATAAAAGGTAATTTTGTATAAAATTTCAGAATATATAAAAATATAGATACAATTTTTATCTTGTCAATATAGTGTTCTACAGGGGCGAAACTTTCGATTCAAAAGTAGAGGCTCGTACCCCCCCCCCCTTAAATTACGTCTATGGTGTTGCACCTTCTAGCAGGAGAAGTTTGACAATTCCAGGTCAATGTTTATCAGTAACATATTCGCTGGTTTCATAATTACAAGAAATAACAGAACTTTATAAAAGGTTATGAAATATTGGAATTTTTTCAATATCTCTGGAGAACACATGACCTGGGCTTTCAAACAGCATAAGCTGAAGGACATAGCTAATAAATGGTTGGGGTTTCAGAACCTCCCGTCCTCCCAACTTTCAAGACCATAGCTAAGAAATGGTTGGGGTTCAGAACTTCCCAACTTTCAAGGACATAACTAAGAAATGGTTGAGGGTTCAGAACCTTCCTTCCTCCCAACTTTCAAGACCATAGCTAGAAATAGTTGGGGATTAAGAATCTCCCACCTTTCAAGGACATAGCTAAGAAATGGTTGGGGGTTCAGAACTCCCCGTCCTCCCAACTTTCAAGACCAGAGCTAAGAAATGGTTGGGGTTCAGAACCTCCCAACTTTCAAGGACATAACTAAGAAATGGTTGGGGATTCAGAATCTCCCAACTTTCAAGGCAAGAGCTAAAAAATGGTTGGGGATTCAGAACCCCCGTCCTCCCAACTTTCAAGGCTATAGCTAGAAATAGTTGGGGATTCAGAATCTCCCAACTTTCAAGACAAGAGCTAAAAAATGGTTGGGGATTCAGAACCTCCCTTCCTCCCAACTTTCAAGGCCATAGCTAGAAATAGTTGGGGGGTTCAGAACCTTCCTTCCTCCCAACTTTCAAGGCCATAGCTAGAAATAGTTGGGGATTCAGAATCTCCCAACTTTCAAGGATATAGCTAAGAAATGGTTGGGGATCCAGGACTTTTCCTCTTCAAAATTTTCCAGGTCATAATTAGGCAAAGATTGGAGTCCAGAGCCAATAAATTCAGATTTTTTCGCAAGGGTCAATGATGACAAAAGAGAGTATTTTGATTCACACGCTGAGACATGAAATCAATGTAGTTAGCTCTAAAAACAGAAGCTAATTTTAAGGCTTTAACATGTATTCAGCATATTCTTTTATATTTCCAAGTTTATATTTCCAAGCATTCTTTGACAATCCGCTAACTCTTCAAAAACTAGTGTCATTTTATAAATATACAAGTTTGTTTATCATAGTAAACGACTTTAAAAAGAGTTATTTGGTATGTTCATCATTAGTTTCTGTTCACTTTGGTTATGCAGAGAAAACAATTAAATATGAATAGTTTTAAAGCATTTTCTTATTAAGAACATCCTATTCTAGCTTTTTTGTTTGACTTTTATGCAAATTATGGTATGTTACATTAATAAGAAACTGTTTATATATATATAATTAATTCTATATTTATCAAAGGGAATCAACACTAATATTATGTATAATTTATCAGCGGTAAGCCTCTTTCTTCGCTCAACATATATTTTTACGACAGTAGCTTGTACTAGTTAAACACATATATTCAAATATACAATAACCCGAAAATATTGTCCATTAGAGAAATTATCTATCTTGTACCAAGCTGGTCTTTGAATGTTAATATTACCAAGAAACGTTTTTCTATAACATTAACCACCAGTACTGTTCTACACTTGTATAACTATACAGACGATTAATTATGTTATATTAAAACGATTCTGAATATGTAAATCAGCAAGTCACGTGACAGCCATGGCGGATATAAACTAGCTTTTAACATAAGGGAATGAATAAATAATACAGTGTTTAAAAATACAATAAGCCTAGTACTATTGTCTTATGTTTGTTTGTTTCCTATTAAGTTCAAAGCCACGCAATGGGTCATCTGTGCTGTGCCAACTGCGGGTATCGAAACCCGATTTTTCTCGTTATAAGTCTACCGCTAAGTCACTGGAGGGGAGGAGGTTTTTTTTTATTATGACAAGTATAACTGATTACACTACCCGTCCCTAATTTAGCAGTGTAAGACTAGAGAGAAGGCAGCTAGCCATCACCACCCACTGTCAACTCTTGGGCTACTCTTTTTACCAACAAACAGTGGGATTGACCGTCCCTAATTTAGCAGTGTAAGACTAGAGAGAAGGCAGCTAGCCATCACCACTCACCGTCAACTCTTGGGCTACTCTTTTTACCAACGAAGAGTGGGATTGACCATCACATTATAACGCCCCCACGGCTGAAAGGGCGAGCATGTTTGGTGGACGGGGGATTTAGCTTTAGAAGTACATAAACTTACCGCTGACCCACCGAGGGACATGAGGGGTTAATTAAAGAAAAGAAGTAACTTGTGAATGAATTAATGAACACCATTTAATTACACTTTATATATATATATATATATAAAATTTAGTGATTGATGTAACTTTCATATTTGTCCCTGGTTTAGGCCTAAAGAGAATATGCTGGTTTAGAGAATAGTTCACGACCTGCTACTCTAACGAAATGAAACTTTAACAAAAATTGGCATTATGTTGCACCTTGCGGATGGATAATTTAATAACTGTTTTAATAAACCATCACATTTTATTTATCAACAATCGGGCAAATTTTCCGTCAATCCAAAGCCCTCTGGGCAAGTCGTATCTCAGTGGTTAGCGTGTTAGTTGTGGGTTCGTTACAAGAGTGACTATCAATCAGATTATTTCATTGGAATCTCTTGCTGCTGACCGGTTGCCTTTTGACCTGGTCACTTAGCCCAAGCGTCTTATATAATTTCGCTCAGGTTGAAAATATCAAATTCCACTAACGTCCGATACTTAACAAGTAATCCATTTCATTAAAGACACGTGTATAGAGTCACATTAATACAACTAAACTGAAAACAAAACCTAAACGTAAGGGATAATTCTCGTGATTGTTCATGTTTTATTAATTATGATGTATAACCAACACAGTCACCCAAACTGTTATAAATGTTTAAAATAATAAATGTTTTTACTTGTTTGTTTGTTTTGGAATTTCGCGTAAAGCTACACGAGGGCTATCTGCGCTAGCCGTCCCTAATTTAGCAGTGTAAGACTAGAGGGAAGGCAGCTAGTCATCACCACCCACCGCCAACTCTTGGGCTACTCTTTTACCAACGGGATTGACCCTCACATTATAACGCCCCCTCGGCTGAAAGGGCGAGCATGTTTGGTGGGGATGCGAACCCGCGACGCTCAGATTGTGAGTCGAGCGCCTTATCCACCTGGCCATGCCGGGCACTGTTTTTACTTAATACACAAACACGAATGTTTAACGATTGAGGTTTCTTAAAGGTAATATTTTATTATCTTAAATTAAATGAGTGATAATATACTTTATTGTATTTTGAAGCCAAAAATATTCTGTTTATAACGTATAAATAGACAAAAAAATGGTAAGTTTTCATAGTTGGTTGCTAGGGCCAGTATGTTAACGTTACTAAGGCCAGTTCTTTTAACTTTAATACAAGTTTGTTAACGTTGCCCATTTACTCTTCTGGTGAACAGTGGCGCTGATGATAGAATAGTAACTTGTTTTGTTGTTAAGCAGAAAACTACACAATGGGCTATCTGTGCCATGCCCACCGCGGGTATCGAAACCTGATTTGTAATGTAATAAGCCCAGATTAAAACAGACGTATCAGTTAGATGAAATAAATGATGAACGTGTAAGAAATAGTGTCTAACTTTTTAATACTTGCTTAAATTTTTAAAGACAGTTCAAAAATTTGTTAACGTGATTCGTTAGGTTTAAAATTTATAATGCAAAGTATCTTAGCTAATTCAAGATCCTAAATATCTGTGAATTTCAAAAGTGTTTTGGTGTTTATTAGCGTCTTGGCCCAAAGCCACATAACAGGCTAATCTGCGCTGTGGCCGCCACGTGATTCGAACCCCGAATTCGAGCATTATAAGCGTTCAGGTTTATAGCTGAGTCACAGGAGGACTATTTTGAAGGAATAATTGATTTATTAGAACGTGAAACGATGTACCGTTTTTTAGAGTTAGTATATGCTGTTTGACATAATTTTTTGCGTGGCTGAAATTATAAGTACTAAATTAGTTCCAACAGATGGCGCCACTAATTATCCGTATTTTTCTCCAGGTGGTTCAAGAATATGAGAGAGCGGTCATTTTTCGTCTGGGTCGGTTACTTCATGGAGGATCAAAAGGTCCAGGTAAGTTATTCATTTTAGATTCGCTTCGCCAATTTCTTACAATTATTATTCGTGCATTGTATATAATACTTATCCTGTTTTAAAGTGTTAGCTAGACGAAACTTAGAAACTAGCGATTAATGGAAGTCACTTCATCGTTCATAGCGTTTCTAGGGTAATTTCGAGTAAGCCTAAGTTTCAGTTTGTCAATTTTTGTTGTTGTTCGTTGTTTGACGTAAAATCTCTTATATCTATATAATAATCATGAAAAGTTCATGGCAGCCATTCAAGAAACACTAGTAAAATTAACCAATCACAACATGTTTTGGTAGTTGAAATATTTAATATTTTTCGGATATTCCTTAATTTTTCACCCCGTTCATTTGCTGTTAATGGAAGTAAACGTTTTTTCATTGATAAAATTAAAGAAAAAGACGAAGTATTTTTTTCTTTCATTTTCTAGGTATATTCTTCATCCTACCATGCATTGAAAATTGTACAACAGTTGACCTTCGAACTCTAACCTTTGATGTCCCACCTCAAGAAGTAAGAAGGAAGCAATAACCCAGTTTTTCTAGCAAGCTTGTGAATTCTTACATCTAATATTTGTAATTATCCCACGAGAAATTAACTCATGTTTTCTAACTCTGTTTACTTATACCGGTGATGTTATACACGATTTAACATTTTAGAGTTAACATTGTGGTTGAGCCATCTAGTGACATATAATTCTTGTGAATATCTGAGACGCTATGTAAATTACTTGTAAAACATTATAAGTACTAGAAAGCTTATTAATTTTTTTCCAATCCGAAATATGTAGGGAGTTTAGTTATATTATTTATTTATATAAACATACGAAACTTCTTACAACTGGAGTAAGTCTCTCAGTTTTTTTTCTTCTGTTATTGGAGTAACAGTCTTCATAGAAATGCGAATCAAATTCAGTCTAGAGGAAGTGTTAAAATAGTAGCCATCTTTCACAAAGAAGTATCTGTGACGTCTGAATAGCACCCAAATTATCCAAATTTCTCTAAAGTCTCAGAAAGCTACTTCAATGTTTGTTGGGAGAGTTGAGTGGAGTCAAGACTCAAAGCCCTTCATGTTGGAGGGTGGAGTAAAGTCAAGACTCAGAGCTCTTCATGTGGGAGAGTGGAGTGGAGTCAAGACTCAAAACTCTTCATGTTGGAGGGTGGAGTAAAGTCAAGACTCAGAGCTCTTCATGTGGGAGGGTGAAATAGAGTCAAGACTCAAAGCTCTTCATGTGGGAGGGTGGAGTGGAGTCAAGACTCAAAGCTTTTCAGGTGAGAAGGTGAAGTGGAGGCAAGACTCAAAGCTCGTCAAGTGGGAGGGTGGAGTGGAGTCAAACTCCAAGCTCTTAAAGTGGGAGGATGGATTAGAATCAAGACTCAAAGTCCTTCTGAAATTCAAAATTATCGCTTTAATTTGACTAAGCATCTCCTATTTAAAGAGCTATTGTTCATCCATCTGGCTAGGGCTTTTGAGTTCCATGAAAATTTGTTAGAATACCTTCTATAGAGTTCCAGACCATTGGGGGTTATCACATGTCTAGGATGCTGTACGAGACGAGCCAAAAGATAGATGGCACTGACTCACTCTTACCTAATATTATCACATGTCTAGGATGCTGTACGAGACGAGCCAAAAGATAGATGGCACTGACTCACTCTTACCCAATATTATCACATGACTAGGATGCTGTACGAGACGAGCCAAAAGTTAGATGGCACTGACTTACTCTTACCTAATATCTGTAATTATAAGGAACCTTTCACAACACTGCGCATGCTCAAACCTTTCTGATTTAATCCCCAAAATTACCGAATCATTAACATATTTTTATTACATATAGGTTCCATATATGGTACCGTATAATTTTACACTTTTGCCTATTAAAAACTCAGTGTAAATATCTGGTCAAAAGAATTGGCTGAAAGCAGTCATATTCTATGTAAGGTACATAAGGAACCTTAGCAGTAATTAATGAGATTAATTGTAATTTTCATGGTATTTCTCTGTATATTTGTGTGTGTTGTTCAGAGTTCTATAACTAAGCAATCTGGTCCACAAATAGCCAGGAACAATGCGTTTAAAAGATGCCACGTGTTATTGTGAAGTCCAATGTTAAATTATGATTATAAGCACCAAATTTCAGGCATTTTGAATGCCTAAAGGGGGGAAACAGTGTCTGAAACTGCTCATTTCTGTCTCTTATAAAGAAAATCTACAAACAGAAATTGTTTTTAAATTTCCAGTTATAGAAGTACTGTGGTTTTTAATTTTTCAGTAACCAACTTAAAATTGTAACTGATTAATTACTCACCCTCAACAATTTAGCTCTAGATGCCAAGATCCTCATTCAATCTCCATTTGTTCTCGATTTTTGACCGTTTTTTTTCTTCTAAATACCAGTTTGTTACCATTACAACGAAAGTAGTTGACTTTTTCCAGGGACTTGACCTTTGACCTCCATTCGTCAAAAAATTAAAACAAAATTAGTTCGTGGTGGACACTCAACGTTTGTACCGAATTTTATCAAAATAATATGAACATTTTTCCAGTTATACTGTTCACACATACACAGGAGTGAAAACAACACACTCGCCTTAGGCAGGAGTGAAAACAATACATTCGCCGTAGGAAATAAAGTGTTATTATCAATACGAATAATAGTATTCCCCCTCCCCTCTCTGCTCTGGCCCAGTGATGAACCATAATTCCTCTGGATTACATGTGTCAATGGTGGTCACAGAGGGAGTTTACAACGAACAACTTCTTGTAGGCATGGTGTTGGGTAATCTGTTCATTATAGGTTCAGGGGAGGTCCCCCCTGTAGGTGTATAACCATATAAACTCGAAAGCGCTGATTTGTTAATTCTAGGTATTGACCAAAGATTCAGTAACCATATCGGTGGACGCTGTCGTCTACTATCGAGTCCAGAATGCCTCAGTATCCGTGGCCAATGTAGAGAATGCCCACCATAGCACCCGCTTGCTTGCTCAGACTACACTCAGAAATATTCTTGGAACTCACAACCTTCACGAGATACTGGCAGAACGAGAACACATCTCCAACTCCATGCAGGTAACGTGATTGGAAATACGCAGATTTATGATTTTAACTGAAAATTAAACCTTTTAGTTCGAAATGATATTCCTTATTTAATTCCATAATTTAGCTCGAACTTTATTTATTAATTATTTTCCAGTTATGTACTTTGATGTATTTCTATCTTGTAATGTAGCTTCGTAAACCTTAGCACAGTATTGTAGTTCAATTTTACGGTGTAACCATATAGTATTAGCACTGTACTGTAGTTCAAATTTTCGAATGTAGTTCCATAATCGTCATATTGTATTGTAGCTCTATTTTGTAATGTGATTCCCTAACTTTAGTACTGGTTAATAAGTATATACAGAGGTGTTGAGTACATCATGTAAAAACGAATTTTAAGCTTCACCACGTCGTTACAGCCTATGTCGCCACGTCCTTTCGGGCCATGCTCTATCTAACAGCCACCCATCTTGATAAAAGCTCTGCAGCGTAGTTTCCATTGCAAAAGGCTCCGTCATAAGACTCTTGTGTCCAAAATACTCCATTTCTCTCTGTATGCTTCCCTCAGTTCATCAATTCATCTAGTGTACAATGAAAATGGTTTCCCAGCACCAGTTTCAACAGTCTAATCGCAAAAATGCCCTTTTCATTCTACAAGTGCTCGAGGTATGTGACAGTTGAACGGATATGTCGTGGAAGCAGCTTGTGTACACGTGAATTGTGTCCTTGATTATGTTGCGTACCTTTGCCTGGGACACGTGGACGGCTTTTGTCACTGACCTTTATATTCTTAGATTTTCACATGTTACAAGACGCTGTTCTTGGCTTACCAAAGTTGGAGTACGATTTGTTGTAGGTCTCTTTCTGGATGGTCCAGAGACCTCATGATGATCCAAGTTCCTTTATTTTCGATATCATTAAGTCTTAGAGATATCCCCCGTCTTAGAAATGATAAATCTCCAATCTGAAGACATCTTTATGATCAGAGAACATGAATATTTTGCTTCGAGAAGTGAAGAGAGCTGTTACATACCCTTTCCCCCCGCAAAGAGACGAATTTTCAGTGGCCTCACATTGCCCACGAAATGCCAACCAATATAGAAATGTAGTTTTTATACACACTGTGCCACCATGACTTCATATCGGCTGCGGTTGTCACGTGACTTGCTGATATGCGTATTCAAAATCGTTTTAATACAACGTAATAAACCCTGTTAAACCAAGTTTTGTTCACGTGTTACTTGTTTTGTTTCTTGCAGAGCGTTCTCGATGAATGTACTGACGCTTGGGGAATAAAGGTTGAAAGAGTGGAAATGTAAGTAGCAACATATTTGGGGAATAAACATGCAGAAAAACAACAACAAAAACATTAATGAAAGTACTTACTTTAAGGGAAGTAGGGATGTACTAAGTAACAGTTTAATTGTTTACTTTATTTGATACTTGCAGTTAATAAAACTAAAACGTAAGTAATTAACAGAATCCGTTTCTTCTCATCATCAGCAGCATTTATTTTCTTCGTACTTGTTTACTACCACATAGTAAGCAGGCGATATTATCCTAGGTTTAGAAAAAAAAATCTTCCCAATTGTTACTTCCCTCTACTTTAATTTCAATAATAAACGACCTTCCATTTTATTCGTAGATATATGCACTTCTAAGAAGTGGGGACATTGTTAGGTTGCTGTAATATTATATGTTTAGTTAAAATCTCAATTTTCGCATGTAAAGAGCAAACATTTTGTAGGGAGGACAGGGGGGGATGTTTAAAATTCCTGTACTACACCCTAAAGGTGTTCTAGTGAAGCTGGGAATTTTGTAATTAAGATTTTAGGTGCTGCGGTGTCAGTTGGAGGTTTGTGAACATCATTTAATACAGTATCGTTCCATTTAACTAAATCTTTACGAGTTAATAATCTGTAACATGTGTTCTTTAAACACAACTTTTTATATTTTTTTGTTAAGATGACTCAGTCTTTTCTATTTACAAAACTGTCTTACCATAACAAAGATATTTACCCATCTGTCTTACCATAACAAGATACTTACACAACTGTCTTACCATAACAAGACATTTACACAACTGTCTTACCATAACAAGATATTTACCCAACTGTCTTACCATAACAAAGATATTTACACAACTGTCTTACCATAACAAAGATATTTACACAACTGTCTTACCATAACAAAGATATTTACACAACTGTCTTACCATAACAAAACAGTTGTGTAAATATCTATCTTTGTTATGGTAAGATATCTTTGTTATGGTAAGACAGTTGTGTAAATTTGTTATGGTAAGACAGTTGTGTAAAGATATTTACACAACTGTCTTACCATAACAAAGATATTTACACAACTGTCTTACCATAACAAACATATTTACACAACTGGCTTACCATAACAAGATACTTACCTAACTGTCTTACCATAACAAAGATTTTTACATAACTGCCTTACCATAACAAGATACTTACATAACTGTCTTACCATAACAAATATATTTACACAACTGTCTTACCATAACAAGATACTTACATAACCGGTTTACCATAACAAGATACTTACATAACCAGCTTACCACAACAAGATACTTACATAACTGCCTTACCATAACAAAGATACTTACACAACTGCCTTACCATAACAAGATATTTACATAACCGGCTTACCATAACAAGATACTTACACAACCGGTTTACCATAACAAGATACTTACATAACTGGTTTACCATAACAAGATACTTACATAACTGGTTTACCATAACAAGATACTTACATAACCGGCTTACCACAACAAGATACTTACATAACCGGCTTACCATAACAAGATACTTACATAACCGGCTTACCATAACAAGAACGTCTCCGCTGAGTAGCCCTAAAACTGTATAAACTTTCGGCATAGCATATTCATCATGAACAGTGGTAATTAAAATATTTTTACGGAATACATAATACATTGTACAAGGTACTCATTTGCATATAAATAAATTTATGTATATTGTGTTTCGTCAGCTGGAATATTTGAAAAAGAAAATGTTTGCATTTGGTAATTGGAATCAAATTTATATTATAAAGATTACCTCCTCTGGCGGGAGATTAGTGTTCTAAAAGATTGCTAGACTTGGCAGAACCATACAGCTCAAAGATAGATGGCGCTATGTTTATTACATACAACTTACAATTATACCCATGACATTTTATCACACACAGGTAATTCTATTACATACAAATCAGAGTCATATTCACGATTTTTTTTTACATAAAACTCCGAGTCATATCCAAGATTTTTTTTTACATAAAACTCCGAGTCATATGCACGATTTTTTTTTACATAAAACTCCAAGTCATATCCGCGAATTTATTATCCAGGGGTTAAAGTTACTTACAATTTAAAACAGTGAAAAACTGCTTGTAAGCTGTACGATCTGACGAAGAGGGCTATCTCGAAACGTCATCCTCTTCAAATAAAAATATAGAAAAAACTTGGCGATCATTTAGCCTATTCTTTGATTTCGATATCTTTGTCACCTATGCTGTTAACTGTATGTTTTTTGTTCTAAAAGAAACAGTAGTTCGGTTCACAATAAGACTTATTTTCGTAAATATAAAACTTTTTGTTACTGTTTATTGACTATAAAGGGTTAAGTTTTTTTGTTTTTTTTATACAAAATTTGCAGCAAGGACGTAAGATTACCAGTTCAGCTGCAACGTGCCATGGCAGCTGAAGCGGAAGCTACACGAGAGGCTCGTGCAAAGGTGAGTTTTGTTTTTATATTATGAATCAGGATACGTTTTTAAAGTAATATGTTTTCTTATACCTACGTTTAAATATTCTTATCTGTTTGTGAGTTAATTTGGATTTTTAAGGTACGAATATATTAAATATAATTTCTAATTTATTTAACAAAAAATATTGTGATATATGTTTCTCTTAATTTAACTTTAAGTCGATCGAGTGTTTGATTGTTTCCACCGAACGCGACTGATTGGTTGATTCAAACTTTATTTCATTGGCCGACTGTCGCCACTAATCTCGGTTGATTGGCTAATTCAAATTTGATTACGAGGAACCCTCTTTTTAGAAAATAGCGTTTGGAGACAGCTTGAATAGGCAATGAAACAAACTTTATATTTTATTTCATTGGCTGATTGTCGCCACTAAACTCGGTTGATTGGCTGATTGTTACTGCTAAACTCGGTTGATTGACTAATAACCAATTAGTCTGTAAACTGAAACACCTAACGACGTTTGCTGAAATTGCTGAAAAAAGTGGATAAAATAAAAAGAAACGTAAAAGAATAAAATCTCTCTCCTTCACTTTAATTAACATACAAATTTATATTTCACATTTTAAGCCTTTATCTGAATCACAAAACGTTATAACATTCAAACATTGGTATATTTCACATTTTAAGCCTTTATCTGAATCACAAAACGTTATAACATTCAAACATTGGTATATTTCACATTTTAAGCCTTTATCTGAATCACAAAACGTTATAACATTCAAACGTTGGTTTGATTCTTTTTACTTGTCATAGAACCGTTGGTTTGATTATTTTTACTTGTCATAGAACCAGGAAGTAAAAAAAAAAAGATAATTACAATTGAAAAATATTTTATTTTTTGCCCCCAAAAGTAAACATCCTTACGGTCTGCTGGAAATGTTTAATGCTTTTGTTTTCAAATAAAGTCATCAACAAATAAGTTTATAATTAAATGCGAACATATCTTTAATAGAACTAATTTCTGTTTGGACTGGTTAACTGGTTTCTCTGACCACATATATTATGACTCGTTTACAAAACAATTAATAAGCTTCCACTCGTACCTTATGATGTGAAATTTGAAAGATAACCACAAAAAATACGTTAATTTTAGAAAAACGTAATATTAATGTTCTCATATTTCAATAAGTTTCATAGTTTTATTTGTCCTTATTGTTTGATTTTGGCACAGTTTGTTGACGATATTATCTTTCTTCATGATTTGCGAAATAAGTTTTTCGTCGGATATTCTGTTTTAATTAATTAATTAGATTCGATAAGTTTGTTAAATAATTCTGCTGTATTAATTAATTTTATTAATGTATTCTCGCAGGTGTTTTCTTAGAACACATTGATTTTCTAGTTATATGTTATTACTTGTGATTTAAGATGATAAAAAGATCATCACATTTATTGGGTCTAATAATCTATTGGTCTATTTTTTTTAAATATGCAAATATTGCAAAGTCCTAAATTTGAAACCCAAATAAAGAAAGGAAAACATATAGCAATTAAATGCAAAAGCTAAAATATCATCTTTAAGTACAAATACAAGCCGTTCTGTTGTGATAGAGGTAACGTTCCAAAAACTCACAATTTAATCTCATAATCTCATGGTACAACAGTATGTCTGCGGACTTATACTGCTAGAAACCGGGTTTCGATACCCGTGGTGGGCAGAGCACAGATAACCTTTTGTGTAGCTTTGTGCTTAATAACAAACAAACAAAAACAACTTAATCTCATAAACATCATACACGTACCTAGCCCCAATACTCCTCCACTGTTACTTTGCCCCAACCTACTACTCCTCAACTGTTACCTTGTACCAAACTCTTTTTCGTTGTTACCTTGCTCCATACTCCTCCACTGTTACCTTGCCACAACCTATTCTCCTTCACTGTTACCTTGTCCCTAATTATTTCTTCATTGTTGTCTAGCTCCAGCTTTCCTCCATTGTTACATTGCCCCAAACTCCTCCTCCTCCACTGTTACCTTGTTCCTAATTCTTTCTTCATTGTTGTCTAGCTCCAACTTTCCTCCATTGTTATATTGCCCCAAAACTCCTCCTCCTCCACTGTTACCTTGTTCCTAATTCTTTCTTCATAGTTCTCTTGCTCCAACTTTCCTCCATTGTTACATTGCCCCAAACTCCTCCTCCTCCACTGTTACCTTGTCCCTAATTCTTTCGTCATTGTTGTTTAGCTCCAACTTTCCTCCATTGTTACATTGCCCCAAACTCCTCCTCCTCCTCCACTGTTACCTTGTCCCTAATTCTTTCTTCATTGTTGTCTTGCTCTAACTTTCTTCCATTGTTACATTGCCCCAAACTCCTCCTCCACTGTTACCTTGCTCCAAGCTCAATTGTTTTCCAGTATTACCTTGCCCCAAACCCCTCATCCTCCTCTGTTAAATAATATTTGCAAATAAAAGCTATAAAGATGTAAAGAGTTGTCTATGAAATTTCAGAATAAAAGTTATGTCATATGTATTTATATAAACGTTTATAAGAAACAATTGCTTTTATAATAGTATAGAGTGGCAACAAACAGGTTCATGATGAGGCAAAATGTCACATGAGAAAACAAATCACCAGCTTTTTTAAAACTTATTCTTAAAACACCCAATCTTTTCAAATAACCTTTAAAGCTCAGCTTGAAGTAGTTGGTAAAAGTTGGCACCAGTACCCATGGGTCACCCCATTGGGGTGGAAGACACTTTAATCAAATCACCCGAGATCAATTACAAAAACTCCCTAACTTTAAAATATATTTAAAATAAATTTGGAATTTACAGGAGTCTTGAAACTGTCTTTGGTATCATTTGAAGTTGTAGTCAAACTGACACCATGGAAAGAAAACAACGTTTACCATTTAATTCCTCCAGTATCTACGCCTTGCTCTTTCTGTAATCTCTTGTCTGGCTAGTTGCTTTAGCTAATTCTAAAACTCTAAATGTCCTTTGTCTCAACTCAGGCATGACTGATTCTTAGGATAATCCCAGATATATTAAGTAACACTTAATTTGATTATTTAACCCTTTTTAAAAAAAGCAAACAAACAAACAATTTAACCTTTCTGTTTCCTTCAATGAGTATTCTTATAAATACACACATATTTATATATATGTAAATACATATACATGGGGTCGAAAAACTTATCAGAAAATGTAACATTATTTGTTCTCACTAGAGGGCGCCACTTTAAAGGGATATTATAATCAATGCATAACATTTTGAACAAGTTTTTAATTTTGAACAAAGTATAGTTGATACAACTTCATAGTATTAGGATAATTCTCATATCTCGATATAATATTCTTATAGTCTTATTTTGTTGTCTCACAAACTGAAGAGATACAGTCTTCAAATTTTCACCAGCTACAGAAAACAGTGCACTTTTGCTGCTTCGTAAGATCCTATTTTATAAATTACAACCACAAATAAGATATATATATAAAATCAATTATTTCTTCGAACACTCAGCACCACTGATCAAAGCCAAAATAGGATCATACCTAACAATATGCTTTTGCCAGAGGTTGGCACCTTAGGAATGGCTCAGTTAAAGAAAACCCTTACTGAATATTCCTGCTAAGTTTAGAACACGTACTGTGATTATGGTAAATGTGTGATAATACCGACAGTCAGATAACATAGATACTAATCTTCATTTAACTCTTGTGCGTTTGGTTGTCTTCGTAACCAGGTCATTGCAGCTGAAGGAGAACAGAAAGCATCTAGAGCTCTGAAAGAAGCTGCTGATGTCATCGCTGAGTCTCCAGCTGCCCTCCAGCTGCGATACTTACAAACTCTCAATTCTATATCGGCGGAAAAAAACTCAACCATCATATTTCCTCTCCCGGTGGACATCATTGGAGGCTTGTTGAAGAAAGGAGAATGAGATGAATGTTTAATGTGTAACATGTAAGCTCAACTAGTGACATCTGTTAGTATTCAACACACTGTTTTATGAAAAGACGATCACATGATATAACATCACAAGTGTTCTGTTGCACAGGTCTTTAAGTATAGCTTAAACTAAGTATAGAAATGAACTTTTTTAAAACCTGGAACCAATTGCATCCCAAGGAACAAAAGAACTTTGTAAGCGTTTGATCCCTATTGTTTATAACGTATTAGGAAAGCATCATATTTAAAAATTGTATATGTATATATGTGACTCTGATTGACTCATGTCCGTTTAACACTGTAAGAAGATCCGCTAAAGAGTAGTTTTAAAACTGAGAAAGCGCCACCAACCAACCAAACACAATAATAAAAGAAACGATAATTTACACCTGGTGGTGCTTTGAATATACTACACGCAAATATACATATATAATGTGTGTATGTGTGTTTGCATGTAATAAAACAAATATTCATTTTCACACAGGGTCTCAGTTCAAACAAACGCCACTTATCACGTTGCTAGACTCTCGGTTCAAACGTCACGTATCACGTTGCTAAGCTCTCGGTTCAAACAAACGCCACGAATTACGTTGTTAGGCTCTCGGTTCAAACAAACGTCTCGTATCACGCTGCTATGCTCTCGATTTAAAGAAACACCAAGGATCACGTTGCTAGGCTCTCGGTACAAACGTCACGTATTACGTTTCTAAGCTCTCGGTTCAAACAAACACCAAGGATCACGTCGCTAGGCTCTCGGTTCAAACGTCACGTAATACGTTTCTAAGCTCTCGGTTCAAACAAACACCAAGGAACACGTTGCTAGGCTCTCGGTACAAAGAAATGCGTGTTAAAACTTGTTGAAAATAACAAATTTGTGTTTATAACTTGTTTTAAAAGAAGTTCTTATAAATACACGTTTAAATCAATAGCATTATTCAAGACAACTCTGCCAACAGAGAATATTATCTGATATGCATTCTCTAAAATTTGTCCACGAACTTTCTTATAGTAAACGTCAACAATAAACCAGAAATCATTTTGATAAAATAATTATAACCCCATAACAAAGTTACTTCAGCAAAAGGCGTTTCGTAAATTTAGAACCAAATATAATAGACAGCCTAAAATTGGTTTCTCCGCTTCAGAAACCGTGTGTTGTAAAGCTTTGAACAGATCGCAGGTTTCGACTCGTGTGATGACGTACTTATATATATATATATATTGTTTTATTAAAAAAAGTTGGATTTAGGAAAAAGTAGACATTACACAACAACTTTGATATGAACTTGTTGTCCTAGTCCACAAAGTGTTAAAGTGAGTTACCGCTATCGTTTTATCTCTATGTGCATCTGTAGCTTTATTTATTAGCATAGCTACGATATTCCGTGTGTTATCCGGTTAACGAGCTGTATTAAAAAAAAGATAAGGATACTTTCGTAAATCATACATAAGTTATATCGAAGAAAGTATCTTATGAACATGTAGATTACTGAGTGGTCATTTGCGCATGCTCAGTCAGAATAAAATTTATGTACCTTTTATCTCATCTTTCCTATGTTTTAATATCTCATACATAATCACCAAATACCAGCTAATCTTACTTACATCCATTTATACCTGTGCATCGTAAAATACGTACTTGTTGTTGTTTATTAAACACAAAGCTAAGTTGCTGAACTAATGTTCACTCAGTTTTGTGTGAAAGATAATTAAGAGTGATTTTCTTCATTCAGTTTTGTGTGAAAAATAATTAAGTCATTTTGCTCACTCAGTTTTGTGTGAAAGATAATTAAGGGTGATTTTGCTCACTAAGTTTTGAGTGAAAGATAATTAAGGGTGATTTTGTTCACTCAGTTTTGTGTGAAAGATAATTAAGAGTGATCTAATTAATTCAGCTTTGCGTGAAAAATAATTAAGTCATTTTGCTCACTCAGTTTTGTGTGAAAGATAATTAAGAGTGATTTTGTTCATTCAATTTTGTGTGAAAGATAATTAAGAGTGATCTTGTTCACTCAGTTTTGTGTGAAAGATAATTAAGAGCGATTTTCTTCATTCAATTTTGTGTGAAAGATAATTAAGAGTGATTTTCTTCATTCAGTTTTGTGTGAAAGATAATTAAGAGTGATCTTGTTCACTCAGTTTTGTGTGAAAGATAATTAAGAGTGATTTTCTTCACTCAGTTTTGTGTGAAAGATAATTAAGAGTGATTTTGTTCACTCAGTTTTGTGTGAAAGATAATTAAGAGTGATCTTGTTCACTCAGTTTTGTGTGAAAGATAATTAAGAGTGATCTTGTTCACGCAGTTTTGTGTGAAAGATAATTAAGAGTGATTTTCTTCACTCAGTTTTGTGTGAAAGATAATTAAGAGTGATCTTGTTCACTCAGTTTTGTATGAAAGATAATTAAGAGTGATTATTTATTGAATCAATACGTGCATTAGTTATTGCTAAAAGGTTTAAAGTGAACAAGATACATAAGAAAGGTATATTTAATTATCTCTGCTGATAAACAACTAGATTTTTACTTTAGCTCTTACTCTGATCGGAAGTTATTATTATTTGCGAAATATCGTGTCTATTACTTAAAGAATAACAAATAAAATTATCTGTTATTTTACGCTAAACTGTCCTTCATATAAACAGGTTTTGAATCGTAATACCCAGAAGTGTGATTGGATAATTTGTATATTGGATCCAATAGGAATGGGGATACTCTATGCTGATTGGATCACACAGCAATGGAGATACTCTATGCTGATTGGATTACACAGCAATGGATATACTCTATGATTTTAATTACAATCTTAGTTATTTTATATAAATATTAATTAATTAGTGAATGAACATTGTATTGCTATGTTCTGGAACCAAGATAAATTCATCAAACGTTATTGTTAATTACTTCTACCAACAGGAATTCATTAAACCTTATTGTTAAGTTCTGCTACCAATAGGAATTCATTACACGTTATTGTCAAGTTTTGCTACCAATAGGAATTCGTTGCACGTTATTGTCAAGTTTTGCTACCAATAGGAGTTCACCAAATCTTTGTTGCAAAATAAAATATTATAACTGTTCTACAGAATGATAATGTTAAATCATATTATATTGAAATAAATGTGGTCAAATTTTAAGTTTTTGAGCCACAAAAAAACACGTTTTTTCATTAGAATTAGAAACAGCAGTGGTATCGTTGACCAATTAAAACTGCATGCTATATTAAGCTTAAGAACATTTTCACAAATCATGTAGATCTCAGAATATACCTAAAGAAACAAAACTGTTTAATATATTTCTGTTTTCCAAAAGTAAACATTTGCTTTTAAAGCTCCTCTTTCTACATTAACTGGTGCGAATTATTGCTACAGATTGTCATTTTTTTACTTCATTTATGTAGAATAAACGTCCTGTGAAGGTATTCTAAACTGGGACCACAATAAAGATTCGAAAGTATCTAATGTGCCAAAATTACACAAGGGCAAAGATGTGTTTTACAAACTACACCATAATAATTTTTTTCCAAAAGTTACAAAAAATCTGATGCACTAAATTCAAAACTTTAACTATTAAAGTAAACAGTTTGGTCTTTTTAGAGAAATGAGGTTCCAAGACAATACGTCAAGACTTTTGGGACAACCTGCATCTCTAAGAACATAAATAACAAACGTTCAGGAAAATTGTCCAACAAATTATAAAATAAGATACCTTGTCATTTTTTAGTGTTAATTTACTAAAGTTTTCAAGAAGCATTAAAAGCAGAATACGTTATTTCACTGACTACACTTGAGGTAAGAACTTGCATTCCGTCATCATGAAGCCAGTTGTCACTCATTATCGTGAAAGTTGGGTTAAACAAAAAGAAAACCTTTTTTTTTTCACTTTGTGGAGTCAAAGTCAAAGAAAGTTACGGCAATATGGAAAACATGTCATTTGTGATAATGATATATATATATATATATATACTCATGTGTTAGAGAATACTAGTAAACATTAAAATTACGTTTATTAACCATTGTTAGACTTAGTATATTGAACTACTAGCTGGAGTACCTGTCCCCTGGACGAAAGTTATGTAAATTCATGATTAATGAAAGGTTATCTTAGGACTTGAAAAGTTGCTTCCCTTATAAGTAATTATGAAAAAAATCCAAAAACGCCCACAAAAACCGCAAAACACAAAATGTGAAACCGCAAATTTACATGTATCTCCCCATGGACCCAATGAACCTCCATACCAAATTTGGTGAAGATCCATCCGCAGGAGGTGAGATAGTGGTAAAAAATGCAAAAACGTCCATAAAAACCGTAACACTGAAAATTTGCATGTGTCTTATCCATGGACCCAATGAACCTCCATACCAAATTGGATGTGAGGTAGTGGTAAAAAACGCAGAAACGTCCATAAAAACCGCAAATTTGTATGCACCCCCGCATGGACCTAATGAATCTCCATATCAATTTTGTTAAAGATTCATTCACATCCTGCGAAGTAGTTACATAGACAGTACTATTATATTTATATAGATTACTTCATAAAAATACCCGTGGTGGGCAGAGCACAGATAGCCCATTGTGTAGCTTTGTGCTTAACTTCCAAAACAAACAAAAACAAAACAATACTTCATAAAAGAACGAATTGCGTTTCATACAATAATTCAGTTTTGTTTTAATTTCGCGCAAAGCTACAAGAGGGCTATCTGGGCTAGCCGTCCCTAATTTAGTAGTGAAATACTAGAGGGAAGGCAGCTAATCATCACCACCTACCGCCAACCCTTGGGCTACTATTTTACCAACGAATAGTGGGATTAACTGACACATTATAACGTCCCTATGGCTGAAAGGGCGAGCATGTTTGGTGGGACGGGGTTTCGAACCCGCGGCCCGCAGATTGCGAGTCGAGCGCCCCCTAACCACCTGACCATGCGGTTTTATTTGATAATGGTTTTAACTTTTCACTCGTTTGTTCAATCACTGTAAACTGTTTTACAGAAAACATGAGTACTGTTATTGCAAACTGAAGCTTGCTATATCGTGTTTTAAACTATTTTATTGTGTGTGTGCGTGTGTGGTGGAAATTAATGGTAGAACGGTCACGTGAGAAACGTTGACAATTATGTATGTAATAATAATCGAGGTTTCTAATATTATTGGTCCATGTCAGTGGTAATTATGATGGTTTATAACGTAAAATTTGGCATTCGGTCCCTGCTGTGAATACAGTACGATTGTGTTCAACAACAAATAAACATAAATCTATCTGTACAATTTGAACAACGGGAATTTGGAGTAAGTGTGAAAAGACCAGTACTTTATCCTTTAATGACCTGAGCAATAGAAATTTGGAGTAAGTGTGAAAAGACCAATATTTTATCCTTTAATGACCTGAGCAATAGAAATTTGAAGTAAGTGTGAAAAGACCAATATTTTATCCTTTAATGACCTGAGCAATAGGAATTTGGAGTAAGTGTGAAAAGACCAATATTTTATCCTTTAATGACCTGAGCAATAGAAATTTGAAGTAAGTGTGAAAAGACCAGTACTTTATCCTTTAATGACCTGAGCAATATAAATTTGGAGTAAGTGTGAAAAGACCAGTACTTTATCCTTTAATGACCTGAGTAATGGGAATTTGGAGTAAGTGTGAAAAGACCAATATTTTATCCTTTAATGACCTGAGCAATAGGAATTTGGAGTAAGTGTGAAAAGACCAATATTTTATCCTTTAATGACCTGAGCAATAGAAATTTGGAGAAAGTGTGAAAAGACCAATACTTTATCCTTTAATGACCTGAGTAATGGGAATTTGGAGTAAGTGTGAAAAGACCAATACTTTATCTTTTAATAACCTGAGCAATAGGAATTTGAAGTAAGTGTGAAAAGACCAATATTTTATCCTTTAATGACCTGAGCAATGGGAATTTGGAGTCAGTGTGAAAAGACCAATATTTTATCCTTTAATGACCTGAGCAATAGAAATTTGGAGTAAGTGTGAAAAGACCAATATTTTATCCTTTAATGACCTGAGCAATAGGAATTTGGAGTAAGTGTGAAAAGACCAATCTTTTATCCTTTAATGACCCGAGCAATAGGAATTTGGAGTAAGTGTGAAAAGACCAATATTTTATCCTTTAATGACCCGAGCAATGGGAATTTGACAGTCTTTTATGGGTGTAAATATGATTTGAACGAATACGGTTATTTGTCGCTGTATAATCTTTTCGTGAGATAGAGATTTCAAATAAATTAAATTTTTTCTTATTCCCACTTAATCCACACACAGTGTTGTGTATATTTGGTATTGTTTTACTTTCTTGTAACTTTAGTACCGTTTTAATGTTTGATAATTTTAAGTAGTGTATATTTGATATACACAGCTTAGGGGGGGTACTAACTTTAATAATATTTTTTGAATAGTTACCGTCTCAAGTTTATATTATGACATGAGAGACTTTTGAAAAGAGGACCTTTTTGTGAAGGTAACATTCTCAGTAATAATGTTAATTACACAAAACCTTGGTGTTATAAGCATAAACACATTGTATAAGAGCATGAAAAGCATAAAGAAATATAATAACATCATAAAACTAACATTTCTTGTCTGTTGCTGGTTGTGTCATTGTACTGCTTACGAGAGAATACTCTATTACACATTTCCTTAATTGTGTCTTATTCAAGCTTAATTCAAAACTAAAATTAAATTTATAACCTAGTGGTTAGTGTGAATTTGAGAGTTCATGGTTCGCGGTCCATTGCTACAAAAAACAAAAACAAAACGAAGACTGCATTTTGGCGGTCATGGCAGAATCTATAAGTAGCCCAAGCGTTGATGGTGGGTGCTGTGGACTAGCTGCCTTCCCTCTAGTCTATCAGTTCAAAGTTAGGAATGTCTGTGTGGAGATAACCCTCACTGTTGGTTTGCACGAAAATCTTGGAGCAGATAAACAGACTATTTGTATAACTTCATCCATCGTGTACTGGAGTGTATTCGTTGTGCACAACCATAATTAATTTTTTGTTCCTTTTGTATAGTTTATGAAAGTAATGTGTGTACAAAGTAATCAGTTCTTCTTGTATGAAGTTGATCAATCTGTTTTTATTTCATTGTTACAAAGGCTTTACAAAATAAATACAGAAAATGCAAACACTGTACCAAGGTGGTGACACCATGAAAGAATGTTCTGACATATAGTTGAACACTTCAGGATGCTGAGAAGGAGACTTAGCAGAAAACGAACTTCCTTAATTGAAATACTAGATTTGTAACATAAAGATAAGCACAACTCGGCCACTTTTTATTATTTTGATGTAACAGACACCACCAAGAACACGTAGCTTAAAATAATTAAAATATATTGGATGTATATGATAGCAGTCACTCAGGTGGTGAATCATATAAACATTTTTTATATGGTCATGTCCGGCAAAACTATAGAAGCATATGAAATTAATGAACACACGTAAACCAGTTCATATGGTAAGATGTGGTTCAGTAATCCATATAAGCTCACTTTCATCGTAGTTTACAGTACTTGAGCTCAACGCGAGAGACATATTTAGTTTATACAAACATAATTCAGATATAAAGTTTAAATTATAAACAGTGTGAACCAATATATATATATATATATATATATACACATGATTCACCATTCGTCACCGAGTTACACTGGTTTCGAGAATCCTAACTCTCACCAGTAACTCTGGACAAGGGCAAATCGAAAAAAAAGTTATTCTGTTTAATAATTTAGAAAAACAAATGAGTATAGTCAGTGAGAAGATTAAATTATAACTCAAAACACCATATATATAAGAGTGGACTGATCCCTAGCTGGGTAAGACGTATACTCATATAACTGCTAAGTTACAACTCAAAACACCATATATATAAGTGTGGACTGAACCCTAGCTGGGTAAGACGTGTTCTCATATAACTGCTAAGTTACAACTCCAAACACCATATATATAAGTGTATATGAGTATACGTCTTACCCAGCTAGGGTTCAGTCCTATACGTCTTACCCAGCTAGGGTTCAGTCCACTCTTATATATATGGTGTTTTGAGTTGTAACTCAGCAGTTCTATGAGAACACGTCTTACCCAGCTGGGGTTCAGTCCACACTTATATATATGGTGTTTTGAGTTGTAACTCAGCAGTTATATGAGAACACGTCTTACCCAGCT